CTGCACGATATGCGATATTTAATCTGCTCTGTCTCATCCACTGCAGCCGTGCTTTGGTTTTTTCCACGAGCACATGTAGCTAGTTATAAACAAGCTAAGCCCCTCTGTCTGTAGCCTGCTTAGCTGAGATGCTACGTATCTTAAAGTTTAGCAAATTCTTGTAAACTCAGCTGCTTGTTGAGAGAAAGCAGCTCCTCAGAGGGAGGAGGAACCACTGATAATGAATAAAGTCTGGGGGCTCTTCTTTCTCAAAGTAACTCTTTTGATGTCAGGAACATCTTTTAACATGTTCCATTTGTTTCCAGTGAGATACTGATTTTATATTGTGACTCCGCTGCTGTAGTTTCAACAGTTAGTTGTAATAAAATATTAAATTTGATTACTGTTCTGAATTTATTCTTTTTTAAAAGGCTATTATTTAGTAATAAAAAAACTATAAAAATATAGGTAAAGAACAGAACCAATAAATAGTATTTATAAAATCCTAACAATATGAAATAAATACGATATAAATGGCAGCAGGTAAAGACAAAAGTCAGTCTCTGGGATGGATCTCCAATTTATTTAAATTACTATTTATAAAGATTAAACTTGACAATTAACTTTAATCTGGTTATTTTCAACAAAGTTTTGTGCTGGAGTTTGTGTTTTACGGCATGTATATCGGTTCCACATATCGGTCATCGGCCTAATTTGTTACCAATAATCGGTATCGGAAAAAAACATATCTGTCGATCCCTATTAGTGAATACTGTGAACAACACAAATCATCTTCACCAATATGTCAACACCTCATCATGCACTGGTCAAATTTGACATTTTGGGCTCTTTCGCTTCCTTAACGTGTCTTTTTTTTAAGACTGGGGGAAAGAAAAGGTCCAAAATCCACATTTAGTAGTTGATTTTCCTGCAGTTTGTCTTTGTGCGTCTGTGGATTCCTCCTGAAAGTTAGCTTTCTAACGCTAACTGTCCTCCCCGCTGTCGCCGTCTGCACCGTGTCATCTCATTCTTTGCTTCACAACGCTGTCTGTGTCATTGTCATGAGGTCATTTATTTTACATCACATGTTAGCTGCAGTGAATCTGTCTGTCTGTCCTGCTAACCCAGCTGGGAAGTGCATCGTGCTCTGTCTGTGTTTTGGTTGCTTGCCAGAGGTTGTGCCTGAACAATTTTACAGTGAATTACATGTTTTTATTAGTGTGAGAGCTGCTACAGCTCACACACAATAACTCAACTTTTGTTCTCTTTGCTCTTTATTATTATTATAATTATTATTTATTCTTTGTTTGTCCTACAAACTTGGTTCAACTTCAAATTGTACATCGTCTTAATGAGATGGGTGCTATTACCTGTGTTGCTGATATCTGTAATGGTTAATTTTATATTAATATTTTTATGCATTTTAAAATGAATGGGTTACTATGGGAGCAGGTACTCCACTCTTCCAACTTTAAGAGCTTAGTGCTCCAGCATATGTGCGGCTAGAGACTCAATTTCAGCTGTAAGTTACAATAAAGATGTTGATCTTTCAAAGTTGTATTTGGTGTTTGCTAAAAAAAAAAAAAGAAGTTTAGTTTAGGAGCTATGTCAATCATATCTTATTCTGACAAAAAATGGCTCCTAAGCACCAATAGAAGGCATGTTTTGCTCTGTGATGGCTACTCCGCTGTTAAAGAATAAAATAAATGAACAGCACACAAAGAATTGTGCTGTGAAAGACTTAATAGCATAATAACTCAATAGCTGTGATGGCGCAATGGATAAGATGCCTGTCTTTGGTGTGACAGACCCGAGGCATGAAATTAAACTTGCGCGTTCCAGCACCAACAAAAGTGGGACCAGTCCAGACAAGACACAGGTGTGATGGCACTCCTCAAAGCAACTCATCACTTCAAAACAAAAAAAGACAGCGATTATCTGTCTCTCAGTCAAGTTTAGATACAACTCTGTACTAATCTAAGATGGAAAGCTGTGGGCAGAGGTTCATTCAAACTGTTTTAAAGGAGGGAGGACTGTAGCGAGAGCACTGCAGTGTCAGGTGGGACTGTGCAGCAATGGCAAATTGTTTACATGGCTCACAAGTCAGGTAGGAGGGCTCGTGATAGCAGAATATTTTAGGTCCCCGGGAGGTCAGGACCGGCTCTGGCGGTGATGTAGGTATGTGTGCTTATGATCCAGTCATAGCCCTTTCTGACATGGCAGTGCCAATGATAAGGGGATAAGTAAGGGAAGCTTGTAAAGCGCAGTCAGCAACAATGTTCATTAAAAAATGTTACCACAGCAGGTACAGAGGACTTCCTGAGTCTCTTTGCAGAGCACCTGGGTATAAGAAGCCTTTCACTAAAAAAAACTCTTCGGCTGGCTAAAAATATTAAACATATAACAGCCAATAACGGATCCTGCTTTTATTTATCTTGTTCCTGTCCTCTGAGCTTTACATGCACCCTCATCAAACAACGGCATAAAATAGAAAAATCTTCTAAAATGCTTTGATAAAACATGTGCAGGAGAGACCTGCCAACATGAGAAGACCTGAGCTTCATGAGGAAACAAAGCCCGGACTGGACTCCTTTCCAGCCCAGCATATTATCCACAAGATTCCCCATCTATACTGCCAGACTGCCGATATGACTGCAGCTGTACCCTTTACACAATAACTAAATCATTTCAAGTAAAGTGCTTTGCGGAAATGAAAGAAAATAAAACTTACATTTACATCTTAATTGTTTAATGTCAACATAGTAGAAAATCCAAGCTGCAACAAATCAGTCTGTGATGTTTATGTATCTGTAAATGGAGACAAAGTCACAGAGAAGAATCCAATTGAGCACAAGAAGCAATACATTTTCTTATCACAAACTTTAATAAGCTTTGTCAAATAAAGGAACTTAATTCACCTAGAGCCGTAACATGTACACAGTTTCTATAAGAAAGTTCATTCATTTTACTAAGGTGTGACAAAACAAGTGCTAGATTGTTTAGTAGCTGTGTAAACTGACACGGTTATTGATTCATATTAATATTAATTACTTGGTTGCTTACTTATCTGTTGCATTTGTTTGCTTCTTTACCAGGTTTATGCTTTAACGAACTGTAATAAAACAACAAAAACAAAGAAAAAAGAAAAACATCCAAACGCAAATAACTTTGAAGGATGTATTACAGTTTGGTACAGCATGCAGCATAAACTTAAATACTGCTGACAAGAAATATATTTAATTTAACCTGATGTAACTTCCAATGCTTTACATTTATTTGAACACACAGTCTTAAGTCGTAAAAACCTTTCATGGACCTTAGCCAAGCTGATCTGGTTTGATATATCACGGTAACAATGGTGTGATATTTGTGTCTCTTGTATAATTTAGCAATTGTTCTTATTTGCATTTTATAACTATAATAGGGTTTAATTTATTAGGGGAACGTAACACAAAAACATTACTTTAGTGCTTTCAAATTTGTTTGCTTCTTTCTCCTTAACAAGTATCAAGTACTCAGTAAACCTCTGCATCATGGTGACACTGTGGGGCTCTGTTATTATCTCCTGTTGGTACATTTTCACATTCTCACACATTTTTCTCTCTCATTTACGCCCACAATGTGGGAACATCAGCTTTATCTCGAGATATCTCCAGAAGTAAAAGGTGACAAGAAAAAGTAAAGATGGAGAAAAGTAGATTTTGAAACTGTTGCATTGTGTAGAGCAAGTTTTAAATCATATTTAGAAAGTTATAACCAGATCCAATAAGTATTCTAAGTCAGTGGGCATAAATATCATTTATGTAGATTGGTATAATATTCGTGCAAAAACTAATACTGCACATTTCCCATATTCCTGACTAAAGGGGAATAGTGATAGAAGATATTAGAAGAGGTGTTAAAATAACATGAGCTAAGAATGAGAATGAGATAAGAATCAGTGCTAACATTTGCAAACTTTGCAATGCAAATATGGTATGCAAATGATGCATACAATACTATCGCGATACTTATGTCACGATACGAAATTATCACGATACTTATGTCACGATACGATATCACGATACTTATGTCACGATACGACATTATCACCATACGATATTATCGCGATACTTATGTCACGATACGACATTATCACGATACGATATTATCACGATACTTATTTCACCATACGATATTTTCACGATACTTATGTCACGATACGATATTATCACGATACTTATGTCACGATACGATATTATCACGATACTTATGTCACGATACGTTATCACGATACTTATGTCACGATACGACATTATCACCATACGATATTATCGCGATACTTATGTCACGATACGACATTATCACGATATTATCACGATACTTATTTCACCATACGATATTTTCACGATACTTATGTCACGATACGATATTATCGCGATACTTCTGCCACGATACAATATTATCACGATACTTGTGCCACGATACGATATCACGATACTTATGTCACGATACGACATTATCACGATACGATATTATCACGATACTTATGTCACGATACGATATTATCGCGATACTTCTGCCACGATACAATATTATCACGATACTTGTGCCACGATACGATATCACGATACTTATGTCACGATACGATATTATCACGATACTTATGTCACGATATATTATCACGATACTTATGTCACGATATGATATTATCACGATACTTATGTCGCGATACGATATTGCGATTTTAAACATATTGCAATTTACTGCAATATTTTATCTTTTTCCCAACTTCAAATTGTGTCCCCAAAGGAAAATTATTTTTCTAGTGGACTGAAAAAGCAATTTTATTAGTGCCAAAAACCAAACTTCTCATGTACAATTTATATAATAACAGATCGATACTTGACGTTCTTGTTACGATACGATATTGCCTTGCAAAATATCGCGATACTATGCTGTACCGATTTTTTCCCCCACCCCTAATGAAAATGTGGGAGAGAGAGAGGGGGGGGATAACAAAGCAGCACACAGTGGTAAACTCAGGTCAACACTTTATTGAATATTCTGTTCAACATAAACATATCCAAGAGGTGTTACAGTGTCACAGGAATCTGACATTGACAATGTGTTTAACATCTAACAAGATGGTGTTAACAGTGACTGTCTGCTCAGAACAGTCAAGTCCTATGTCAGGTTTAAGGTGAAGACTTGATATAAACAAAAAGATTAAAATTGTATTCTGAAAAGATTTTTCAAGATTCTGCACAAAGAAGAAAATGAACCAATGAGGCAATGATATATGATATGTAAATATGTATCATGTAAATAATACATGATAAATTCAACAAAACAAGTTAATCAATATATACTGACATGAACCATGAGTATCACTTTAAACACAGTACAGTGTGACAGTACACCATCAGCAATGTGCCTAACATCTAACAACTTGGTGATAACAGTGATTCTCTCCTCAGAACAGTAAATTAAACCCTATGTAAGGTTTAAGTAGACTTGACAAAAAACAAAGATTAATCTTGTATTCTACAAATATAATTGTTTTTGAAATACCATACAAAGAAGAAAATTAACCAATACTAGAAGAAAAGGCACATTAGCCACCTTATGTCCCAACATAATCAACATTATAAGTTTAACAAAACAATTTCCTATTTCAACGTACGAGTGTTGACATTGTGTATCGATATATGCTCTATATTATAGGAATTACAATAGGAAGTTGTAATTTACTTAATATCTGTGCTGTACCAAACAGTGGAAGTTTAAAATGATTGTGAAGCTGATGAAGCAAAAATCCACGTGAGAAGATGGCTGTGCATAGACTCAACATGAAGTGATAATCAGAAAAATGACATATATAGTCACTTTATTACAAAGTCAATTATCCTGGTCTCCCTGGGTTTGAATGCAGTTTTGAATTTGTGAAGCAGGTTCAAGCTAAAATATGGTGTTAAGTTTCTCTTTAAATTTTAAATGTTAACAGACCAAGAATCTAACAAGTTTCTTGTCGTCTTTCTTATTCAGCTGGACGCAGGTACACGTAGTTGGATTGTTTTCCAGCCCAGAAACATGGGTAAACTGGCTCAGTGAATGTGGTTTTAAAGGTGTAGAGGTGACTCAGTGAGTCAGAGGAGACTCTGTAGTAGGACAGAGTTCCAGCAGGCCAATCCAGAAACACCCCAACTCTGCTGCAGCCAGAGGGAAAATCAAGTTTCCCCGCATCACCATTATGATATGCGTGAAGTTCCTTTTCTTCAGAGGCCCTTTGGCCAAAACACCATGAAATGGTGTTGTTCCCAAGTTGGCTTTGTTCATCCATTGATTTTCTTTCGATTCCCTTGTATGCAACACCTATGTAAACAGATGCTATAGACATGACACTCCACTCTACCTCCCAGTAATGTCGCCCCTTTAACCTGTCTTTGCACATCACCTGAGGATTTGTATCAAACCTCTCTGGGTGATCAGGATACGTCTGCCACGCTCCACATGTTGCCTTTTTGTTTCCCTCAGACAGAGTGAGGTAGCCGTTCACAGTGTCTGAGTCCAGGGTGAGATCACAGGCATCTGATGGAGAGAGCAAAACAAAATGTGTTATTAGTCATTCTGATGTTCAAACAGGTTTCTAGAGGAGAAGAATTTCTACTTCTGCTTTTTAAACTCATAAAAGCATAGAAAAAGTACTTACACCAGATCAGATCTCTTTTGTCTGTGACGTTCTCCACAGGAGGGAGGTCAGGCTTTGAGAACTCCTCAGAGACCAGAATGCCCTCCTTGTAATGGTAGATGGTTGCTCCTGCGTATTTCTTATTTGCTATGGCTGCTATGAGGAAACAGAATCGGCTGTTGCTCTTCAGTGCTTTGGCAAGATAAGAGAAAGATTTGGCTTTTTCTCTCATTTTGGTAAAAACTTCATCTGAGAAGTACCACGGGTCTTCATGGGTACATTCTAAGGTGAGTGAATCCAAGTATTTGGTCATCACATCAAGGCAGGGGTCAGCACTCTCCAGGGAGGTGAAAACAAAGCACAGAGCATCCTCTACATCTGCAGCAAGAACCTCTCTGTCCAGCTCTGACTGACTGTGGACAATCTGTGTTCCCTCCATCTTTTCTACACAGGACCTGATGATGTTGATTTCTCTCTCTTTATGGTCCATCCACTTGGTTAGTTTGTCATGGCTGAACGGTGACTTGTCTCTGTCTTCAAAGAGTTTTTCTAATTCGCTCTCGTCTTCTTTACCTTTACGGATGAGAGGAAGTTTCTTCTCCATGGTCTGTTTGAGGTTATATTCATAATAATGACACAGTTTTTGAAAACTTCTCAACTTTTCATTGATTTGAGGAAAATCTTGAACCACTTTGTCCTCCAGCAAATCGTTGCATAATTTTTCCAGATGATTCAGGTCCTCCAGAGGATCTTCAGCCTTTCTCACTAGTCCAACACTGATCTCTCTCATCAGCTCAGGAGCTCTGGAATCCAAATTCTTCAGTGGCATCAGCCAGACCTTCAGTGGAACACTGTTCTCCCCACTTTCTCCCAGCAGCTTTGGAAGTTGTATGTAGGTCTTCACTGCATCTACAAATGTTGCAGGGTTGCTTTCGAGAATGAAGTCTCCGTAGAATTTGCAGGAGAATTTCTCAGTCAGAGCTTTGTCTTCATCATTCAGCTTGATGTCAACTTTCCCCTCAATATTAAATGAGGGGATCTTCTTTATCACAGCTTCCATGCTGCCCTGAATGTTCTGAACGCTGCTGGCGTCTAACTTCTCACTGTCAAACACAAAGAAAGCGTTTGCTCCATAAAGGATGCCTGTGACTACATGAGTTGCAGAGCTCTTCCTAATAACATCTGTCTGTTTGGAACTCATGGTTAAAAGGTTAATCATTTTCAACTCCTTGAAGTGTGTGGTGGCTTTGTACTGACACGTCACTCTGCTCTGATTCTTGAATTTCTTCTTATCATTCAGATACTTGGCAGATCCTCCAACTTCAATCAGTCCACCCAGGAAACTGGCCTTCAGAGACGCATCAACATCCAGCAGAAAGGACTTGGATTCAATGGAGTCAGATGCAGAAATTTCAAATGCACTGCTGTGCTGAGAGATTTCAACTGTGTTCTCTTTCAGAGTTTTATCATCCCACAAAGTCAAACCTACAGAAATTGTAAAAAAGTGCAGTCATCTGATAAAGCAGGGAAATCATTTAGATCTCTACATTTGCTGATTCTTTTTACATCATGTAGGAATGTTAAATAGTTTAAGTTAAAATACTATTACCACTATATGAAATTAATTCAAAGTTTCTGTAAGCAGAGCTGTGACAGATATATAAGATGTACATACTGTAAGTCAAGACTTACCTGGGATCAGCTGATCTTTGCGAGCATCATAGAGCATTCCTAGGGTGAAAGATCGACCCAGAGCAGCAACCTTCATGGTATCTGAGGCCATTTCTCCAACCTGTTGAGAAATATCATAAGTGACGACACATACTTCACATATATATCTGGTTTTGATCTCCCTTTGTCTCCGTCCACCCAATTTGTCCTCACCTGGTGAATTTGTGTAGATCAGCTTAGTTGTGTTTCAGTCTTCTTGACTTTCAACTGGAGCTGCCAGTCTGATGATCTGTGATGTTGCAAGCTTATTTATATCCTGGCGGATCCTCTCTCCTACTGACTCCTCCCATGACACGCCTCCAGACAACAGCCACTTACTAAAGCAATAGGTTATAACTTGGTTCCGTAAAGAACAGGAGAATAAGAGACAGGCAACGAGTAGTTGTTTCATGGGTTTGAGTTCACAAACACAATACTTAGTCCAAAATGTGACCAGATCAATCTTTAGATATTTTTCTTTAGCGCTTCACATTAAAGCTTGGTAGTAATATGTTAATAGTGTGGTAATAGTTCGATAATAAAGAGGTAATTATTTAAAAACACTTACAATTACCAAAGTAATAACCAGGTAAAAGCTTGGTATTAACAATGAGTATATGAGGGTAACATTAGATTGAAATGTATGTAACAGGGTAAGGGGCCAAAAACTAAGATTTATTATGGGGAAACACATATGCAACAGCAACAAGGCAAAACTGTTTAGTAATTGTATAGTAATATTTTGTTTCCAATATGGTAACCTAACAATAAAATGGTTATATCAGTGCAATATATGAATGAAATGAAATTGTATGTCTCTGTGTCGATGGATGCAGTGTGAACAGTAGGGGGCTGAGCAATAATAATGCTGGTGTATTGTTGTGTTGTGTGTATTTGCAATGTGTTTTTGTGTGTGTTGTCAAATTAATGAAAGTAAGTTTTCCCACCGAAATGACGGCACCCTTACTGGGGAAATAAGACTTTCCCATGAGTTTTTCTGTTCAATAAATACTTGAACAGATTCCAGCTTTTTTTGCTTGCAGGTAAACCGCCAAAACAACAATCACGGGGCGCGGTTAGTTCAGCATACTGAGAAATATGACTCAAGAAAAAGACATGAGATGACGTCTTCCCATGAGCTTGGAATAAACTGCTGAAACAACAAACCTGGGGCACAGTTAGCTCAGCTGACAGAGCGAGTGCCCCATGTACAAGGATGAGTCCTTACTGCAGCGGCCTGGGTTCTAACCCAACCAACGGCCCTTTGCCCGGGTCGCCTCCTCAATTCCTCCTCTGTCCACTGTCCTAGCATTAAAGGCAAAACATGAAATATATCTTGAAAAATCCCAATCAGATCTTGCCTCTATCATGTCACAGTAAGATAAGAGATTTTGCAGAACAGGCCATGAAGTTGTTTTATTATGTAAACGCACTATTACAACTATAACTTTATGTAACGCAAGGATGACAGTACGGTGTATATTTGCACAAACCCAAGTGGTGTACTAATATATTCGTTTGTTTTATTTACATTAACACATTATTTTTCTGAAAGCAACATGATCCATTTACGTGGCCATAAGAAAACAAGTCCTCCAACCTCAGAATAAGTTATTTGTCATTGCCTTCCAAATTAACCCTTGTGAGTAATTGAATAATAAACACTTGTGGTACTTTCTGTGCCATAACCATGACCTTATAAGGTGTAGTGGTGAGTATCATGCAGACTACAGGCCGTCTGTCAACACCGGTGGGAGGATAGTTAAGGTTAATAATATATGCCATGAACATTATATCTTTTCAAAAATCATTAAATCAGTGATTGAATCCCACTTTTTTGCTCTGAAAGGTCTCGCCAGGTACATACAAGGTTTCAGAGCACGATCAGAGTGGAGCAGGAGCAGAAGTCAGAAACCTAAACGTAAACATAAACGGATGATACTCGAACCCGACTTCAGTAACTTCATTACATGAACCATTGTGAACCATTACAACATTTAGAGTAAGGGATGCAGGTGATGTGAAATGATTTTTAAAGTGTGATTTCGTACTTGACATTATAACCTTATAAAATCCACTGTGTTAGCTTCCTATGATGCTAAAGGTGTAGTGGTTTCAATGGAACAGCAGGAGTCTTTCCACAGAAATGAGGACACACTTACTGAGAAACAGGATTTAAGATCTTCCTACAAAGAGCAAGTCAAGTCTTGCCCCTATTGCAGCACAGTGAAAGTTTTTTTCATTACGTACAAGGTAGATTCATTTGTCACAATACAACAGGTTGTAAAGTCAAATTGAGTTTGTAACTCTCTTCTGTTCTGATACGTAGCAGACGATATACAGTAATATAAAAAAAGCTATTTTAAAAATGGTAAAAAGAAACAAACTATATTCAATGGAGCAGTGCTGAGGATGAATTAGAGTTTAAGAGTCTGATAGCTTGGGGGGAAAAGCTGCTTTTCAGTCTGGTGGTGCGGAAGCTGATGCAGCAGGGTGAACAGGCTGTGGCTGGGTGGGTACTGTCCTTTAGTGTCCTTTGGGCTCTGCGGGCACCTCACCTCACCGATATCACTGATGCTTGGGAGATGGGTACCAATGACCTTCAGAGCAGAGCCCTCCGGTCCTGGGCCGTGCACGTCCCATGCCAGTTTGAGATGTTTCCAGTCAGGATGCTTTCTATTGCTCCTCTGTAAAAGCTGACAAGAACTTGGCGTAGGAATTTGGCCTTCTTAAGCTTCCTAAAGAACTCCAGTCGTTTCTGAGCTTTCTTCCGCAACGTGGAGATGTGAGACGACCATGTCAGGAATGTGTGTCTTCACCTTCTTTTTTCGAAAATCAACAATCAGCTCTTTAGTTTTGTTGACTTTGAGCAGTAGGTTGTTTTGAAAGGGGAAATTGTGTCAAGAAACCTGATTATGACTTTGAAGGAGAATAAATGTGTTTATCAAACACGGTGCAAGACGGGAAGAATCTCAACCCAAGGTCTAAGTTTGTTTCTCATTGTCAGAGGAAGTGGTTTGCTCAGTTGTCACGGAGAATACAATTTCCACGGTCACAAGAGTTAACGTTCATGCTCAACATGTCCTTTCATATTGCAGAAGAAAACATCAACACGTTTCTTCAGAAGAAAACAGACTCCAGCAGGTTCACCAATCGAACTCTGAACATCGCTCTGGTTCGTTCCTCCTGACAGGTGGAAAAGAAATCTGCAGCACAGAATTATTGTTATTGATAAGATGCTGTATGAATCACACACTGGCTGCATCTTTCAAACTAACTGCAGGTAGTGAATCGTGGATCGTTTCCCCCAACACTGCTGCACAAAACCTGTCCGGAGGGAACGAATGCTGAACATGTGTGTTCAGGGTTTCATCAGTCAGTGAGACTCTGTAAAGTCAGGCCTGTGGATTATCCACTGTTTTTATTGAATTTCTTAATATTGAGGTTTGTTCCAATAATCTGCATCGGTCATTTCAGAAACAGAAAGCCGATATGATTAACTAATAAAAATTTTGCTCCTTTGGCTCTGATGCAGCCGCCTCTCTCTGTCTGTGCTCGCCACGCTGTGGGCACACACCTCACAAAACACGAAGAAACACAACTCTGGGTTCACAAGAAGAAGACAAGATGATAATTGACCCTCCGCTAAGCCACGCCTCGAATACGCAGCTGGCAAATCACAGTGCAGTATAAGACTCACTCTAACTGAGGTCCGACACTTTCATGACTTTCAGTGACTCTGATGCAGAAAGAGTCGTTTTCCAGCTTTTGTTGGCTGTATTTTTCTCAGATCTGGTCAAACGCTGTTCCTGCGGCATCTTGTAACAGTTACAGCAGCTGCCAGAGAGGCTGAAAGGAGAAGGACGATTTATCATCTTTCCAAAACCTAAAATAAATCCAGAAACATGTCTGCTGTGGATTGTTCCTAATGTTATTTAGCTAACGCTAGCTAACATCCTACTGAATGTAACGTAATAAAGCCCCGCTGTTCTGCTTTTTAATGACTGGCAAAAGGGCGAGAACGGGAACAGATGAGCGCCACATAGAGCCCGCCGGTACGCAAGAAAAGTCCCGGGACGCCAAAGAGTAAAATGTAGAAGTAACTTACTGGTATCGGTGGCCCACTTCAAGCACTGCCTATTATCAAAAATTGTGTCTGTGAAGCCGCAGTCCACCGGTGGATCACATGCCGACAAGAATGGCCTTGTTACGTCAGCAAAGGTCCAGACGATCCAGTCCAGTAAAATATTTGGTCCAAAACGCATTATTGTATCAATGAATACAGACGGACTGCTGTTGCGTCGCTTTTAATCAGCCTAACTACAGCTAGCGTGTAAACAAGAAACGCGTCTACACGTTGACCTTTTGAGTGACACCTTACTTGACCCAATAGAAACTTCCATGCCCTGTCCACAGTCCACAATAACCAATGCGTGTCCACGTAGCCAGGAAGTGCCACTCCCCTTTCTTTCGTGTGTACACCAGAAAATTTCATACTTTCTTAATTACTTACATACTTTCTAAATACTGTTCTCCTGTCTATGTGGGGAATCTTTATAAACGCTGTCTACTATAAACCGTTATTATTGTCGCCTTAATTTGTCAAATGTAACGCATGAAGTCGTTCCTTTCTTTGGATAAAGATGTAGTGTCAGTTTGTCCCGGTGTGTTGCAGTACCGGCAGTAAGCTACTCTGTCACTAGATAAATCCTGTGCCAGTTATTTCTCACAGTATCTACCCGTCTGGTCCAGGACAGGACTTGATTTCAGTGGAACTTTCTGTCACTGCAGCAGAAACGTTCATTAAAAGACATATTTTTTGAATGCAGTATTCATTTTATTGTCTTTATTGTTTATGAGCAAGTGCCGTAAAACAACCTCAAGCTAAATTTAAAACTTAAATAAGAGGAATTGTGTAATTTTTGCGACTCATAATCCGAATAGTCAAGTATTTATTTCAATAATCTGGGATTATTAATCTGTATGTGCAAACTAACGTCAGCGGCAACATCGCTCACCAGCAGCTCGCTGACAAGGCTGCTGCAGATAGATTTTGTTTGTCGCCCTTGTGAGCAGATAATCTCAGAAAAAGAACAGTTGTTTCCTTTCACTGATTGTAATACTCTGAGAAGAACTCCAGTCGGTTGGTTATTTCCCTACTTAATATGTATTGTCAGCTGTAGATCTCGTGCTCTGTTGATGCTTATATGTCTTTCTCAAATGTAAATGTAAATGG